ATATGTTTTATTAATTTTAATTTAATTTAATTTTACTTTAATTTTTTTCTTAAATTTAATTTTATTTTATTTATCTTTTACTTTATATCCTTTTTTTATTTAATTTAATTATAATTTTACTTGTACTTTTTATTTTACTTTATTTTATTTAATTTTAATATATTTAATTTTATTTTATTTGATTTTCTTACATTTTATTAATTTTAGTTTTAATTAATTTTTCTTTACTATTATTTTTTCTATTTAATTAAGTTTAATTTTATATTACTTTTTGTTTACGTAAGTTTTTATTTAATAGGATTTTATACGTTTGATTAAGTTTAATTTCATTTAATTTTACTGTAATTTTTTTAATTTATATTTTATTTTATTTTTCTTTTATTTCATATTCTTTTTTTTATTTTATATAATTTTTATATTTTTTAATTTTAGTTTCATTTAATTTTTCTTCATTAATTCAATTTTATTTATTTTTGCCGTTTATGTTATTGATGTTTTTGGTTACTTTTAAATTTATTATTTTGGTTATTTTTTATTTTTTTTTATTTCTTAGTAATTTTTTTCATATAATTTTATTTTTATTTTAATTTTTATTACATCTCAATTTTTTTTTTTTTAGTTTTTATTAAATTTTAATTTTCTTTATTTTCTTAGGTCATTTATTTTTAATTTTAACTCCAATGTTCTTATATATTTTAATATATTTTATTTCAAGTTTATTACTTTTTACCTTACTTTTTGATTTTATTTTTCGTTTTTAATTTTTTATTTCACTTAAATTTTATATTTATTGTATTTTATTTTTTAATTTAATTTTATTTTGTTTTGTCATTTAATTTAATTTTTAGATTTTATTGCTTCTTGATTTTTTAATTCTTTTATTTTAGGCCAAATTTTAATTTATTGTATTTCATTTTCTTTTAATTTTTCATTTATCATTTATTTCATTTAGTTTTTAATAATTTTATTCAATTTAAATTTTATTAAATGAGAAATTTATTATTATTTCTATTTTTATAATTTTTAAAAATCTTTAATATTTCATGTTATTTTATTGCATTTAAATTAAAATTAATTTAACTTTAATTTTAATATAATTTCATTTATTTTAATTTATTATTTATTAAGTTTTATTTTACGTTTCTATTTACTTTTACACTATTTTGTTTTTATTTTATTTCTTTTTATATTTTTATTTTATATTTTATTTTTTATTATTTTACTTCATTTTATTTTATTTCAGTTCCATTTGGTTCTTTAATCATTTGTTTTTAGTTAATTCAATTATTTTATTCTATTTAAATTTTTTTATATTTTTAAAAATTTTAATTTCAATTTAAATAATTTTTAGCATTATTTACTTACCCATCAAATCACTTTCACATTTTTCATAAAAAAAAATTGAATTCAATTTTATATTCCAGAGTATTCAAATGCTTTTAAATTGTTTAATTAAAAAAAATATTTTTTTTTTTAAATTTCTTATGCGCATATCTACGTAAAAACTGAATTAATATCTACTTTTAACTTCAATTCCAAGTTAAATAATTAATGGTTATATTTTACATTTTTGTTTATTTACGTTGAATTCTATCTTTGATATATATACATATATTTTAATGTCTATTTCTCAATTAATTTTAAATTTTCATTCAGCTAAGGCACTTTAATCAATTACATTTTTTATTTTAAATTTGCTTCGACAGCATTTAAAACGTTTTTTTTTTATATATAATAAATCGATTTGTGTTTTAATGGATTAGTTTTAATCCTTTTGGAAATTTACCGCTTCACGTTTGACTTGCGCTGAATTTTATAATTTGTCACTGTATTTTTTTTTTTTTTTTAATATTGACTTAATTCTAATTTCATTAATTTTGTTTTTTTTAATTAATTTTTATTTTCTATTTACTTTCTGCACTTTTGAAATATTTATTTATTCTTTATTTTTTAACATAACTCTCGGTTGGCACCAGCCACTTGGATTTTATATTCATTTTCTCTGCAGCATCTGTCATTTCGTTTTTTTATTAACTTTTCAATACAATTTTTTTTTGTTTTTATAATTTGTTAAGTTTCTATCGTTCGCTTGCTGCATGTTGAAAATCTGAAAACTTTTCTACAGAGCAGCTCAGCTGCCTTTAAGCTTAATTCTCATCGTATATTTAATTGTTGTATACAAAAATATGCGTTTTTGCAGGAAATTGCTAATTGTTCTTCCTTTATTGTTATTAGGGTCTAATCTATGTATGTATGAAGTTATTTATGTATTTATGTGATAGCTGTTTTGTTTCTTAGCAAGCTTAAATGAAATGGTTTTGTCTTTCATTGCCTTGCTTTGGAAGCGAAATTTTAATTTGCAGTTTTTGTTTTAATTTCTGCGAAATATTCTATGTGAAATATTGTAGTTTATTTTTTGTAATTCTCAAAGTTCTTTATGTAGGAATTTTAGTTTGTGTTTTACTAAGATTTCAGCAATTTTTCATTTCATCTAACAAATATTTTTTAGCTTTTGTTTTTTGTTGAATTTTATTTAAATGCATTTAATTTTCATATTTGCATACCTTTTTATTTTTTTATCTTCTTCTTCCGTATTTTTATTTAATTTATTTTATTTCTTAATTTTTATTTCATTTAATTTTTTCTATAACTTATTTTATTTTATTTTATTTTATTTTATTTTATTTTATTTTATTTTATTTTATTTTATTTTATTTTCATTTAATTTATTTTATTTTATTTTATTTTATTTTATTTTTTTTTATTTTATTTTATTTTATTTTATTATTTTTTATTTTATTTAACTTTATTTTATTTGAAGTATTTCATTTTATGGTTTATTATTTTATTTTATATTATATTCATTTATTTTTTTAATTATTATAATTTTTTATTAATTTGTAATTTGTGAATTGTTTTGCATGGTGTCGTTGTTATGACAACTTTACTTTATGTCATAAAAATAGCAAGCTGGAGACTGCAAAATTTTCAATTCAATTTCGTATTTAATTTATTATGTTTGTTATCTTATTAATTTTATAATTTAGTACACCTTTTATTTTTTGTATGTAAAGCCGCAACCAAAAAAAAATATAAAATTGAATTTGATTTATTGTAAATATACACTTTGTACATATACAAATTTATATTCAAAAATTTTGAAATAAAAAAAGTGACGACTTTCAAGTTAAAATACATGTATAGTTACATATGTACAGACATGTGTACATATTAATTCCAATGAATTTTAGTAAACGCGCAGTATTTCAAATTTTGCTCACTTTATTTTAATATCAATTTCTAGTTTTACGGTTTTAGAATATTCCAACACACTCACACCTGACGTACTTTACATTTAATTGTGCAGCTTATTTTTATTAGTTGTCGTAGGTAAAGCGATTTTATTTTATTTAAGTTGAAGTCTTTTTCAGCTAATAAAATTTATTAAATTCCTTTTTTTCTTATAAAAAAAAACCTTTGCTTAATTGCAAATTAATTACTTGAAGGCATTTTAAGTATATGCCGTAGTTGTTTGTATGTTTAATATCATTACATTGACGCATACACACACATTTTTTAATTTATTTTTATTCTAATTAATAATTATTACAATGTTATTTTTATTATATTATTCTTCTTTCTTTTTCTTCAATTTTTCGTCTGCTTTAGGACTACTAACTAATCAATTTGATTTTATGTGCATTACATATACAAATAGTTTAAACACTACACTTTCTGCATTACAAATTAATGCAAATAGACTTATGTTTTGCATTTATTTATAGCAATTGATGTTTACTATTTATCGCATACAACTTAATGACTATGTGTATTTGCAAAATATAACTTTAAATGTATTTGTTTTTGTTTGTTTATTTCTTTTAAAAATTACTAGAGTTCAAATATCACGGTTCTTACACTTACGAAAAGGGTAATACTAAAATATTAATTTTTATTTTTTTTTATATTATATCTATAGTTGATGTTAAGTTTAAAAAATTGAAGAAGGACAAATTGAAAATGAAAAATAAAATATTTTAATATATTAATTCTGTTGTAGTGGAAAGGGTTTGTTTCAAGCTGAGCGCAGTTTTTTCCAAAGTCAATAAATGTACGTTTGTACATATTTTTCTTTACAGTATTTACAACAGAAAAACAATTTAAATAAAATTCAAAATAAAATTATAATTTTACACGCCTTTTTTTCTTTTTACTAATAGTATATGTAATTCACAAAGCCAATAAGTATAAAATGCACATTAGTTGGAAATTATAATTTTTAGCTTAAACAAAGGTAGGCAGGCTGCGAAAATATTTACTTGTTAAACAAGCATACCTTACAACACATTTTTTTTACATTTAATTTAACAAAACAATAAAGTACAATTTATGATTATTATTTATACAGTAGATACCGCTATAAATTGAATGTAAGTGCGTATGTGTGCTTATGTATACACTTGAAGTGATTCACATATAACGTAATTAGCGATTTTTTAAATACATGCTTTTCCATATAAATATTTTTTAATTTTTATTTAATTTTTTTTTTGTGACTATTACATATTCCTTGCGTTTTAATCGTCTAATATACTAAGTTTTTTTATGAACAATACAAAAATATCTAATTTTTATATAAGTTTCTATTTATTATATCCATTTCATTACTTCAATTTTTTGACTGGCAAATTTATGTACAGAAATGTTTAAAAGTATAGCTACGCACATATTATAATTTAATTACATACAGCATTGAAAGTCACGAATTTCAGATAGAAAGAAAAAACCACACTTCTACACACGTATGTAAAATGCATTGTATCGTACTTTTATAATTTTTTATTTTATTATATTTTACAAATCAATCTCACAATATTATTATACATAAGAACGCATCGGTACACATTTTTTTATTATTATTCTTTTTTTTCTGCTTCAAAATGTGCATATGTACCATATTATTTTATATTTGACGTTACAAAAATATTCATGAGGCTTCATTTATCTTAAAAAAAAAAAAAATAATTGAAATAAAAATACTATAAAAAATCATTTAACATTTACATACAGTGCGTATTGGCTCAGATCGACACTATTATATATATAATCAAATCGATTACTAATTGTAATTGTAGCTATATCTATATGCTGGCAAATATCTAAATATATACTTTTTTATTGCATATATATTTACTTTTAACAACATATCGCTAATATATTATGTAATTCGCTTCGTCTTAAAAAAGTAGTATTTTGAATTGTAATAGTAGTCTTTTAATTCCATTCTTACTATAGCCTAAAAAAGTTTTTCAACTTTTTTGCCAATTTATTAGTTACTATACAACGCAACCTTGTCGCACGCCATACATTATCTTCAATTCTGGATATATGATTTTACGTATGAGTTGATTCGTTTTACCCGCCAACATGGCACGACGATTATCTTTTTGCAATACCTTAATGCCGGGTTTGTGTACGAGGAAGGCATTATCCAATATATGAAATTCATAGTCTAAAACACAGAGCGCATAACCCTGATCAAGAGAAAAAGAATTAATAATAATAATTGAATAAAATGATAAAACTTTGCACCGCATTTTATTTTACACTTACCTGTGTCATTTTATCACTTTTACCCTCCCAACTCAGTCGCTCATCGTAATGTGGATCGGCATGCGTACCAATGTAAATCGGTTCCCAATGTCTAAAATAGCCCGTACGTTTGCCAATATGGAAGACACTTAGATCCTCAGTTTCATTGGCGGCCATCCACTCCTTGGACTGTGGCACACCGTGACAACTGGCACAGACACGCTTATGGAAGGGTATCGCTTTGCCAGTGCGTAAATATTCTTGCAACTCAGTTTTGTCACGTGGCACTGTTGCATTGGCTTCCACCTCGAAGATGGAGAGTGGGAAAACTCTAATAAAAAATTAGAATTAGAAAGAATTAAAATATAAAAATGAAAATATAACGCTACTTTCTCTTTCTTCCGACTCACCTTGGCGCTTTACGCTGCAGATAGGCATCATTACGCGCTATCATTTCTAGAAACTTTTTCACCAAACCTGGATTGGGATACAGCTCAATGTCCGAAGCTAATATGAAATGTGTTAAGGCAGCATCCCTCGCTATATTTCGTCCCACATTCACTGGGTATAGCAATTTCTTTTGCGATTTGTACAAATGGCCGGAGCTGATATTGAAATAGGGCGGTGGCAGCGTGCAATTATATGGCGTTTTAAACACATCCGACTGTTTTGCCACCTGTTTCGGTATGTGTTTCGTGCTGAAGTATAGATGAAATGTGGTAAAGGAGCGTACCAATTGACTTTCCGGCAAACATTCACGCAGGTACTTAATGGCATCTATAGTAGGTTGATAATCCGTGCCCGGTGTGTGCATAGCAATACTCACAGGCGCATTCCAGCTGCATGCATACACATACATACATATGTACATATAAAGTACAGAATTCATATTTAAAGACTATTTAAATATGTCACAATCAACTTTTACTTACCGCTCCAGCAACGGTATGAGATTATCTAAAAATGTGTAATCTGCATGTGTTGTGTAAGTGATGGATTCAGTACACTTTAGCGGCCCATGTTCGGCGCGTATGTAATTTTTAAGTACCCAAAAATCGCCACGTTGCAATATTTCTGGTTTGTAATCACGATTGTAACAATTTAACAGTACATCCAAGCGATCGGCCTCTTTCTCCTCAGTCGTAACGACTTCGCCATCATTTACGGCGCTGTTATTCGCATATACAGCGTTATCCACCGCGCCACCGCTGCCGCCAATGTTTCCCGCCACTGCAGCCGGCGCTAAGGGATCAGCGCCAACGGCTTGATTTTGGTTATTTGCTGCAATAGCATTACCAGATGGCGCAGGTGGCGCTACTGCAGCACCACCAGAATCATTGGGCGCTGGTGGCAGATCGTTGGAAGCAGACTGTGGCGGTGGTGGTGGCGGAGGTTGTGGTATTTTATCGCTTATCAATTGTGCCTGCAATTAAAAAAAATGGTATAATAATTGAGAATGATTTATTATTAGTGTTTTACACATGTACATATGTATGTATGTATGGAACTTACGCTATTCACTGGATCGACTCCTCTCTCCTGTATGAAAAACGTGTTACTGCCGGGAAATGTGGTGCCATTGCCAATCATGACATGACTGCATATATAGAGTATGACCACAATATTGATAAGTATGCTGCAACGCAGCAGCCAATTTCGGCGTGTGAACATTTTCTGACCTAAAGGCTCGAATCGCACCATTTCAAATCTTGTTAAAAGCGTCTGTGTCTGGCTAGTAGTTACGCGTTTGAAGGGAAGCAACGAAAGTAATTGCTTACGATTGAGAAATTTATTTTTAGCAGCTAATAATGTACAATATACAGGAAATTAAGAAGACTCTGATTCGAAATAATTAAGTACACCTGCAAAAGAGAACGAAGAATTAATCTAAAGAATTAAATCTGGAAATTATAAATAAAATATGTAATTAGAGCAATTCCTCACAGCTACCGTTGAATGTTTTTTTCCATTTTCTAAATACCAACCTTATAACCAGCAATGCAATGACGTTTTCAACTCATTTTCATAGTATTCGATAATTCCTCTTTTATTCAGCAAAATTTATATACTTAAATACAATATATAACTACAATATAGCATAATTATTATTAAAGCTACTTCTTTTTAAAGAAATTCATAATGTTGCCTTGCTTCGTCTTAGCAGCTGGCGTTGGCGTTTGCTTAGATTTATTATCCTTTGCACTCGATTTTTTTGGTGTCTTTGGACGTGCTTTTGCTGCAGTTGAACTCGTCGCCTTCGATTGTGTTTTCTTCGATTTAACTGTAATTACAAAACCATCTTCATCTAAATATGTTTCAGATTTTGGCGGCGAATCGTCAATCTCAGTTGCTGCTTCATCTAATTTGCTTTGCTTTTGCTGTGGCTGCTCCTGTACGTCTTCTTCACTTTCCTCTTCATCCGAATCTTCGATGCGTAAACGTTTACGTTTGCTTGCAGTTGCTTCCTCTTTATCTGCATCTAACACTTTCTTTCGCAATTTATTAATTTCCTCCTCCTCATCGGAAGATTCAACTAGCACTTCAACTGTTTTTTCTTCAACATTTTCTTCAGCCTTCTGCTCCTCCTCTGCATCATCACCATCATCGGTAAATAGTTGCGTGGAAGTGTTTGCTTTCGATTCCTCATGCTTGAGCGTTTCTTTGGCATCAACTTGCTTTTTAAAGAAGTCATTTAATTTTTTGGGCGTCTTTTGTCGAATGACTCCACTGGCGGCTTTACCCGTAGCATCTGCGGCATCTTTTCCTTTCGGTGCAAAGAAGCTACCGATATTTTTCTGCCCACTCGTGGCTGCTGCTGCTTTTTTGTCTTTCGGTGACACTTTTTTGGAGTCGACGGATTTTTGGGGCGCCTTTTTGTTGGGCGATGTTTTACTGCTTTCAACTGCTACAGTTTTTGAAATGGATGCACCAGCATCTTTCCCTTTATCCTTTGTATTAGAAGTGCTATTTTTGTTTTCGCTTTGCTTGCTTTTAGTAAAAACGTTCGCAGCAGATGGTTTGTTTTCAATTTTAATTTCTGCTTTAGCAGTAGCTGTGGCATTCGTTTTTACTGTATCGCCATCATTTTTTTTACCACCACTCACTCGCTTTTCAAGATTTTCCAATTGAATAGCGCACCACTCTACTGGTTTTAAATCCTCTGCGGGTGCTTTTGCGCCACCTGTAATCTCTACAGAATACAGCGATGACTCGGCATCTTTTAATTTATTTAGCCATTCATTCAACTTCGTTTCACCTTTTACAATTGTAAATACTTCTTTACCAGCTTCATCCGCCACAAAGCCATGTACCACATAACGTTTCTCATATTTGGTACCTTCTTTCTCCTGCTTTTCCAAGTGCGTTGTTAACGTTTGGCTCACCTCCTCAATTGTCATATGATATTCATTTATTAAATCTGTTAACAACACACGGCGATCGAAATTTATTAGACAATCATTTAGTGCCTCTTCTAATTTGGCAGCGCACATATTTTCAAATAATTTAAAAGCCAAAACAAATGCAAAAAAATGCGGGTAAATAATCGCGAAAACCTCACAACTGAAAGCAATGCCAGTTCACAATGAATTTCACAATCGCGCAACTGTCAAAGTGGAATGTGGATGTTATGTCATATGTGGATTACGTCAGCGAAATATGCAAGTCGTTGTGTAGTGGTAGAGCTTTCAATTAAAAGTTGTTACATTTTAAAAGCACTTTTTAAATGATTTTAAAGAGCGGATATTGGAAAATTAAAAACGGAAATACCAAAACGATATGATGATAATATAAGAATGGAAAATGAAAACTTCAAGAAGAGATATATGTATATGTGATTAATAATTAAGCTTTTTGTAAATATACGTGTGAAGACCTTAGCTGTGTTCGTTGAGAAAAGTCGGCAAAAACTACTAAGTTGTCTTAATCTACCAAATCAATGAAATTTACTGAGCTTTTATAGAACAGGATTCAGTAAAAATTAGCAAGTTACTCAATAGCTCTTTATTTTGGTGGTTTAGTTTGAACCCGTTCATTTAAACAATGATGAAATTCTACATGCTTTATACAGAGAACGTAGAATAACGAGAAGGACCGATTGCGATTGCCGTTTGAACTGCCAGAATCGACGAAAGAAATAAGAGATTCTTTCACAACTGCCGCAAGAAATTGATTCTGTTTGTCAACATTTCAGAGCAAGATAATAATAAATTAATAAAATAATTATCTCCCAAATATCACTGTTATCTAGCGGTGAAATAGTCTCAATCACGCTCTAATCATTCTCTTTAATAAATGATTTCTGCTTTATAGCCATCAAATGTTAAAAATATTAATAGGATATTTTCTAAAGACGAAGATTTATAAAAAAATTTGCTATGCGTTCAATTTGTCATTAAGCTTTTTAGGATTAAGGATGACTGAAATTCGAAAATGAGTTTGAAGTTCTTTATCTGGCAACCAATATATCATTTTGTGCATCGTCGTCACCTCCGGAAGCGTAAGAATCCATTATCGTCACTGTGTCCGTGGCACCAACTTTGCTTTCCAATGTTTTGCAGCTCATTTGGTTTTACACTGCTTTCTGGTAAATTATAAAAATCCAAAATCAACACGCGCTAAATAATAATAAATTTTAATTCTATGCCTTCCTAACTTCTTATTTCTCAATGCAAGCGGACGATGTTTGGGGTGGAATCCACCACATTTCCGTTTAACGAGTGCCTTTAATTTTGTTGAAATTATTTATATTGTTCAGTTAAATTAAACAACATTACTTTTTCACTTATATTCTTGGCATATCATTTACTTATATTAAAGAAATGAAATTATTTTAATTTCATTTTGCTTTGTTGAAAGCAACTCAATCAAATGATCACAAATCAGCTGTTTTTCATACTTGCTAGTGTTTACTGAGTCAAAATTTCCCAGAATGAAACTGCAACTTCCTCTTCAACTAATCGTCAAAATTGTGTAAGTTTTTACTGAGCTTTTGAGTCAACGAACACGATCCAGTACTGTTTGGTAAAACGAACAAGCCTTTTGTTATGGCTAAAGCGTCGCGATAAGTTTGCTTTATGAAACTCGAGCATTTTTTTTTTTTAATTTTTTAATAAGTGTAATAATAAAAGCTATTTTTGGTTAGGTGAAATTTAGATAAATATTTTTTAAAATGAAAAAATAGATGGTAATAAATCATAGAATATGAATAACCTTCTTCAATATGTCTGCGTTAGTCAATTAAAGTAATTCAAAGAATTTAATGTGGAAAATTTAGCGAATTTTAAATTTTTTTGCTTTTAAACTTTTTTTTTCTTAATATTCACAAAATTTATTAAATCTTACAATTTTAACTCACACACTTTATTTTTAACCCGTTAGTCTGCATGCTTTAAGCGTGGCTAATTGATAGCAACTGTAATTTGATGTTTATAAAACTAACTATGTATACTTGCTTATATAAAGTTGTTTTTATTTTTGTTTCAATAATATTTATATTTGTTTAGTTGGTAGATATTCTCATCAATTCTCACAAATGTTATATTTGGAAAATACATATGTATGTACATATTTATATTCGTGTGACGCTTACAGTAAGGGTAACTCCAAGGTTCCAGGATTTGAATTAAAGTTAATTAAATTCTATGCAAGAGATTATAAACATGAAGAGAGGTGTTCAAATTTATTAACAAATGTATATGATGGACATTCCAGAGCCCCCATCTGCAATGGTTATGAATATATATATATATATATATATATCGTAGCGATAAATTTCACGTTGAACGAAAAATTTTCTATCGTTTGGAAATGTTAATTTTAAAGTAATTATTGAAATAATTCTGATTTCTTTTTTACTTGAAATGACGAGCTGTCGATAATGTTAAATCGTTAACAGATAATGTTAAACGTTAAAATAGAACTGTGCTGTTAACATCATAGCCAGCAGTAGTTTTAATATTAACATTAACGGTGAGTTTATGCGGCTCCAACGTTAACCATTTCATTCTCTTTCGATAAAATGGCGCCGAAAGGAAACGATTTCATTTCAGTTAATTTTACTTGTTAGCGAAACGAAGTGATATCGATGCATTTTTTGAGTATCTGTAGTATGTACGTATGCCTTCTGATAAAGCGGCAATATTCAGTGGCTTAAGTCTACAAATTTATACATTTTTTAATTTAGCAAAGCGAGTAATTTCAGAATTGAAATGAAATGTGAAATATTTAAATTTCCGTATATTTTTAATCCCTACTTTTGTTTGATTTTAATGAGTAAAGTTAAACGATATAAAAACTTTTGAAAGTTGAATTGTTGCCTTTTTTCTATGGAATTCCTCTTTTTTTTTGCGAATGAACTCACATAATGAATAATAACCAGTAGTAGACTATCATTATTTGCACATATTTTATTTTAATATAATGAAACAACTGTTTAAATATTATAAAAGTTAGCAACAAACAAAAACATATATTATATACAATGTTAACAAGCTAAATATATACGTAAGGTAGGGGAATATACTCGTACACACGAACACTGTTTCTATTGCCCAGAAACTAAACATTACACAAAATAGAGTTTGGAAGCACTTGACAAAAGCTGAATAAACAAAGAAGCTCGCTGTATGAGTGCCATATGAGTTAAGAAGAAAATTCCTCATGGACCCAGTTCCGGGTATCTCCGAAACGGTTCTGAAGCGGCTAGTGACTAATGCTGAAAAGTGGTTCACTTATTGCAACGTCAAAATGAAAACGGTTGTGGTCGAAGGGCAGTGAGACGGCACAAACAGTCTCAGTGTGTTTGGTGGGATTGGCTCGGAATCATTCACTTCATGAGCAGATCCTCTACAGCAAAACTTTTAGCTCGGTTTTGTACTGTCAGCAATTTGACCGCCTGAAGGAGTCAATCGCCTAGAAATGCCCAAGTGTGGTTAATAGGAGGAGGATTGTATTTCTTAGAACAACATCAGAACATACATCGACGGTGAGGTTTGTTGGGAGATGTTTATGCATCCATCTTATAGTCCTGACCTCATAATAAGTAATTGTTATCTAGTGTTTCAAAGTGAATTCAAATTAAAATAAACCAGTGAAGTTCTCTAAATTTAAAGACATCACGAGCTCGTTAGAAATTCTCTTCATATTTTGAGCTCAATCAATAAAATTGTATACTCTTTGCAATTTGACCGAAAAATACCTCATAATATACATAATGGATGCGTAACTAATGGAATCGTTAATTCGAGCTCATCACGTTGTAACATATTGGTGTAGTAAAAAGAAATCCATTATTTTTGAATGAAATTGAATGGCTTAATTTTAAGTTTTTGTATCCCTCTTCGGTATTCAAATGGTCCTAAAAGGTTTTTTGTGCAATCTTTAACTCTTGGGCAATCGAAACAAGGTTTACATGATGGTCGGACTCTACAATATCCATGATTTTTATCGACATTTTCAACAATTGGCCTTCCGCTCTGTCCAAGAGATGTGATGGACAGGACAAGGACAGAAGAATGTGGGTTCTTGTGAAATACAGCAGCCACATAAAGGAGCGCAAATTTGGTGTCGGATTCATGGTGAGAGAGAGACTCGGTCACCGAGTCTTGGCATTCACTGCCACAATCCGCATCAAACGATGTGATAAAGGCTGTTTTTTTTGAGCGCCTCGAACACAATTATGAGCGCTGCCCCCGCCGCCACGACGTCAAAATTGTGCTTGGCGACTTCAACGTCAGGGTGAGCAAAGAAGGTATTTTGGGAACAACAGTCGGAAAATTCAGCCTCCACGATGATGTAGCACTAGATTAAAGCACAAAAAAATTCATCAAGCTACTTGGCAGTCTCCAGATCGAAAAATTTTCAACCAAATCGATCATGTTGTGAATGACGCAAGGTATGTATCCAGTATTTTAGACGTGCGTACGTCGTGCGAGGTCCAAATATCGACGCAGGTAGTGACCTTGTCGCAGCGAAGAACGCCCATCAACAAACACAAGGAAGGTTCGACGTTGAAGAGCTGCAATCACAACAGACTGGCGAGCGGTTTTTCACTCGACTTGCACACCTGCTCTTTGAGAGCATTCATTAGCAACCCGATATAAGAGAACTGTGGGACGGCATCGCAAACTCCCTACGTACAACTGCAGACGAAACTATTGGATTTCGGAAAGGTCGCAAAAACAGCTGGTTCAATGAGGAATATCGTGTCGCGGTGTAGAGAAAACAGACTGCCTACCTCACAACCTTCCGATCGACCACAACACGAGCGAGGTGGAATAAATTCGGAGAGCTGAAGAAGGAATGCATCAATTTCTTTGCAAAATATGGTCGGATGAAAGCCTGCCCGGAGATCCCACAGTCTGCGTCAGTTACCGTGGAATAAGCATTCTTAACATCGCATATAAGGTCCTGTCGAGAGTATTGTGTGAAAGACTGAAGCCCACCGTCAACAAACTGATTGGACCTTATCAGTGTGGCTTCAGACCTGGTAATTCAACCATTGACCAGGTATTCACCATGCGACAAATCTGGGAAAAGACCCGTGAGAAGAGAATCAACACACACCACCTCCTCCCTCGTCGATTTTAAAGCAGCGTTCGACAGGACGATATTATTTGGTATCCCCGCTTAACTTAAGCCTCGACCTTGCGCAACATTAAAAGCTCCGCCAGAATCGGAAAGGTTCTCTCCGAGCTGTTCTTTACCAAGCGAGATTTCAGACAGGGCGATCTCTTATCGTGTGATTTCTTTAACTTATTGCTGAAAAAAATAATATTAACAACAGAAGTGACTAGAGTAGGTACAATCTTCTATAAGTGTACACAGCTGCTGGCGAATGCCGATGATATCAACATTATTGGCCTCAACAACCGCGCTGTGAGTTCTACTTTCTCCAGACTCGATAAAAAAGCGAAGGCAATGGGTCTCGTAGTGAATGAGGGTAAGAGGAAATATCTCCTGTCATCATATAAACAGTCATTGCATTCGCGACTCGGCTCCCACGTCACTGTTGACAGTCATAGATTATCTCGTTCGAGCATTTCGACTAGTAACTTGGTGAATGACACAAGCACTTTTTTGCTCCAAGGCATATCCTTTAAACATATATCCACAGAAAAAAAGTCTAACGATGTGAGATCACTCGATCTTGAAGGCCAATCGACCGGCCCAAAACGTGTAATTATCAGCCCACCAAAGTGTTCTCTCCATAAATCCATTGATTGATGCGATGTATGGGAAGTGTTGAAACCAAATATCTCCGACGACATTTCAAGAACATCAATTTCAGGCATCAAGTAGTCGGTTATCATGACGCGATAACGTTCGCCATTGAGAGCTACGTTCTCACCGGCATCGTTTTTGAAGAAATATGAATTCTATCGGCCTGCAAACCACAACAGATCGATGCTGTTTTCTGGATAAAATGGCAGCCCTTGAACCCCTCAGGTTGATCTTTGTCCCAAATGCGGCAATTTCGCTTGTTTATATACCCATTGCGCCAGAACTGACCCTCATCGCTGAACGAAAATTGGTTCAAAAAGGTTGAATCCTCTTGGAACTTTTCAAGAGCCCATACAGCGAAGCGATGTCGCTCGGGGAGGTCGAACGGGTTCAGTTCTTGCCCAAGTTGTATTTGATACGCTTTCAAGTTAAGATCTTAACGTAAAATGTGCCAAGTCATTTCATACGTCAGTCCGAGTTGTTGGGACGGAATTTTCACGGTCTTCGTGTACACTCTCAGCTGCGGCCGCTATATTTTCTTCACTGCATGCTAAACATGATCTATTCGGTCGAATATTGTCCTATAATGAATGCTGGGTTTCAAGATGGATGATGGTGTTGCCAATAGTACGCTCAGTAGCCCGATTATGGTGATCATAAATTGAGCGAGGCGCGGTAAACAAATTCTTTACGGAACGTGAATGTTCGAAATAAAATTGAACAACTTGTGAGCGTTGTTAAGCGTAAGTTTATCCATGATGAAATGCCAAATAATGCTGAACAATAATAACATGACACGAGTCAAGCGAGATCTGTTAAATAAATGCTCTTGGAAGCAGCTCCTCTACCTGAATCCCCCCTTATAATATAATTTATGATGACTAAGTATATGAGAAAGCTAATTGCAAAATTCAACAATGATATGCAGCCCAAAGTTTGTGAAGACATTCCAAAAGAGTGTTCAGCAGCAATGCAAAGAATTCCTCATATTCAAAGATTCAATTCCCAGAAGTTGTAAATATTAAGATGCTAATTATAAACAAAAAGTATATGCAGCATAAGAAATGCGAAAGAAATCAGTTAAAAATAAATATCACACCGAAATTTGCCTGAGCACTTCAAGCAACACCCCAAGAGTGCCAATCATCATCTGCGAAGAGAACAATGACATACTTACTTCAAACCTCAATTGTAGTTGTAAAGTGTAGTCATCAAAGAACATTGACAAGAGTACTGGAGATCCACCAAAAATAAGACAAAAAAGTGCAATTAATAATTTACTTTTAAATTCCATGCGTCATAACATTCGCGTACTGGGGGAAAAAAAAAAAAAAAAACAAAATAAAAAATTTAAATAATTTTTTCTGATTTTAGTTTTGGCTTCAGACTTATTTTGAAGCGTTGCAGAAAAAGATCACCAGAAATTGCAACGATCCAACAGATTGTGCAGAGTATTTGGCGTTTTTTTGATATTCTTTTTTGTACTTCCAGCACTTTGTTTTAATAACATTTTCATATATGTATGTATGTACATATGTGCATGACAAATGAAAAAAGAAAATAATTGTCACTCTTCTTAAACTTTTACGACTCTCCTTACGCAGAGAAGGGATAAAATAAAAATTTAATAGCTTTTCCACATGTTTATCATTTAGGCATCAAAACAGCACAAAAGTATTTCGAACTCCGTCTTCTGGTTTTTTTTTTTTTTTTTTTTTGTTTTACGTCCAAAGTGGTATGGCTTATTTTTCAAGCAAATGTACAGTTTTTTTAAATGTTATTTTTAAGAGCATGTTTTCGATAGCCAAACAGAAGGTATGAGACCAAAAAAATGAAAAAACTTTTCATAGCATACTTCTTCTTTATGTGGAATTTCGACTCAAAAATCACCATAAATCAAACTATTTCCAATTTAGTACACGGAACTCATATTGGCGCAAAACGGGAAAGGAATCATACACGAGTACGTTGTACCATAGAAAGGAGAAAACCAAATTTTATACCAAAAGTTCACAATGACCAGATGAGTATGCTTCCATTAAAAAGTAGCCTCTCAGTTTTCGAGATATTTTAACAAAAGCTTTGTTTGGATAAGTTGAAGGAAATACTAAAAAAAATTCAGAACATCAGGCTTATGAAATTTTTTTTTTTTTTAAGTTTGGGTCATAAAAAATATAAATTTCAAAAGCAATAAAAAGACAAGTTTTGAATTTGAATATGTCCGAAATGAATTTGGTAAATACTTGAATCTTGCCATAAACGCTGCTGAAGTACTTGGATCATGGCTCAACAGCAGAAACTGGCTTTCGTCTTTCTCTGATTTGGTTAGATTACATTAGAGCCATACACTTCCTGCCTTGCCTACCATAACTGGTCCTCTTACTTATTTTATTTTATTTTTTTATACACATCAATAGTTGAGATCTCATGTGCACCAGGATATTGTTATCTTTTCGAAAAATTTTAAAACAGAAGCCTTTCGAGTAGCTCCGCTCCGAAACAGCGAATTTCATTCCTTTTTGTCATCCCATACATTTCAGCAAAACATACAAAAACTTCGAATTGGTTCCTTATATATATACAGGATGCGTCATTTAGACCTTCGGTATTTCAACATTGAGTAAGTCTGATATTTTTCAGCCAATTTTGACAAATGAGCACGTCGATTAAATGAACACCTTCCTTCTTTACATATTATATTTCCGCACTTACGAAAGATGACAACTACTTCAAATGCTAAGCTTCTAGGTCTCTTAGAGACAAAGTTGAAGGAAGATGGTTTCGTTAGACCAAATATTAAATAGCTTATAGCTAATCCTAAAAAAAGGATGGTTTGGCTTTCAAGAAGCCGTTGAAAGCAGTATAAGAAATAAAATAGAGCCCAAATACAAATATTATCTTTAAAGGAGCGTTGAAAGCATTTCAATCTATAGATTACCCAATGAGTTTAAGAGTACATTTTATTTATTCCCGATTCCCATAGCGATTACTTTCCACTAAATTTAGAAAATTTTAGTCCAGTGGTGACCGCAATTGCCGAGGGTTTAGCTTGCATACTGTTATCCTGAAAGCCGGTGTTCGAGTCCTGGCTTGACCGACATCTAAAATTATCGAAAATGAATTTTTCTAATTGCGCTCGCTTTTCGGCAGGGAATGTTAAGTCCTCCTAGTGTATTTCTGATATTAATTAAAGTCCATCAACCGTTCGAAGTTGGAGTTCTAAAGATTGTAGGTCCGTCTATTTGTTGAGAAAACATCAAGACGCATACCACAAGTTGAAGGAAGAGCTCGGCCGAAATTCGCTTCAGTGGTTAGATACCAGGTCTTAGTGGTAGTAGACGATGGTTGGCCACCGCAGAGATATCTTCCACTTGCTTGAAACTGTACAAAAAGGGGTCCCAATATGAAAAAGAAATGTGTTTAGGCTTGTGCTGTTCTTACTTTGAAATTTTTTCTTTAATTTCGATACAATTCTTTGTTGAAATAATCATACAAAGTGATTAAATTTGTCATCAGTCAGGTGATCTTAAATTTTTCAATCCTAAAATAATGATTGTATGCGTTCTTCTTTTATAAAGCTTAAAACGATTACGATCTCTGATAAATACTGTTATGAAACGAATAAGATATAAATCATACTTGTATAACTTATTGTTCTTATTTTTTTTGCAAAAATCAGTGACAATTACAAAAGTTTAAATGAATTAAATGAAGCAACACTTACCTCACATGACTTGCACTTCTCGTTCACTCGTGACCATTCAAGATGTGTAGTACCTTTTTTTTGGCAATCTTCAAAGCTTTCTGAAATGAGAAAAAGTAAAATGCAAAAAAGTGTTTTAGCACAGACAATTTAGAAAGTTTTGTTTTTATTTTTATTATTTTTATTTATTTTTATTGCGAAAAATGTAACTGTTAAATCAATAATAATGACAACTGCCGCATCCGAACAAGTAAAAACAACATTATAATAAAAATAACAAAAAAAAATCATACAAAAGCACAAGGAAATTATGAAAATACAAGTATACATACATACAAAAAAAAAATAAAAAAAATTACACACATATAAACTTAAGTACTTTTTGCGCACTTTTCATGGTTATGAACACTTCCCAAGTCATATATGTTTAAACATATGTATGTTTGCCATGTATGTAAGATAATTGTTTAGGAATACATATATGTATGTAATATGAACTTGTATTTTATACTTTGCGGCATTGAATTGTCCCACTTTTTTTGCAATGGGTAACCGCAAAGAAACAAAAGATCTGCTGCTCGTAGAGAAAAAGCTAAAAAAAAATAAATAAATAAATCTTATGCATAACTGCATAGATAAGTCTGTATGAACAATATTAGTGCAAATATGTACGCAAGCAGACAGTAAGATAGTGAGATAGCAAGGAATTTGAGAGCACCTGAAGTCTTCAGTGTGTACATATGTATTGTATATATGTAAGTATATTAATTCATGCTGACATATTCGGAGGAGAAGTAAAAAACAAAAAAAAAAGGTAAAAATTAAATCAAATTTTGACAACAACTATTATTGATGGCATATAATTGACTTATGTGTTACTAAGCCGTAGGTAGTCATGGTGAGCGCTGCGAATAGCAAAAGTTGACGAGCAAAAAAAAAAAAGAAAAAAATTAAAAATAAGAAAAAATTAACAAATACAATATAAAAAGATAAGGAAATAACTTTTGCTAAATTGTAGACACGTCTTTGAGTGCTCACGTGTGCGGAATATCATTAAACTTTAAAATATTAGCTCGATTTTGTGGCCATTGCAATACAGAAATAATAACAAGAACAAAAAATGTATGTATAACTAAAAAAATTAAAAAAAACCAAAATATTAATTATAATAAATAAATTTTAATAAAATACAATAAAAACATAAAATGAAATATATAAAATAAAATTTAAAAAATGAAATAAAGAAGTAAATAAACAAATAAAATAATTTAATTTGAAATAAAATAAACAATCACAAAATTGACATAGTAAAAACAAAAAAAAAATTAAAATAAAATTAAATAAAGTAAACTATAATAATAAATAAAGTTGAATAAAAAAATTAAAATATTAAATAATATAAAATAAACAATAAAATAAAATAAATAAATTAAAATAAGAAGATTAAAAAAAATTAAAATATTATATAAAACTAAAATAAATAATAATAAAATAACTTAAAATAAAATAAAGTAAAATAAAATAAAAGCAAATAAAATAAATAAATAGATTAAAAGAAATTAAAAAATGAAATTGAAGAAAAAAATAAAATAATTATAATGAGACACAAACTAATAAAATTAACTAGGTTGTTAAATAAAATAATGACAATCAACTATTATTCTGAAAGTAAGTTTAGCCAACATTTATTTCTCTAAAATGCTAGCTACTGCAAAAAAAAAGAAATAAAATAAATTAAAATAAAATAAGAGATAAAATAAAATAAAATCAAATAAAATGAAATTAAAGGACATAAAACAAAATTAAAATCAAATAAAGTAAATTAAATAAAAAAGCATAAAAAATTGAAGACATAAAAAAAAATTAAAAAAATAAAATAAAATACAATAAGGAAAAATAAAATGAAATAAAATAAAGTCAAATGAAATAAGATAACATAAAATTAAATTAAATCAAATAAAATAAAAATTAAAATAAAATAAAGGAAACTAAAATAAAAAATAAAGTTGCATAAAAAGATAAATAAAATTAAGTAAAATACAATAAAGAAAAATAAAATGAAATAAAATCAAATGAAAAAAGAAATAACATATAAAAAATAAAATAAAACAAAATAAAAAGATGAAAATAAGGTAAAACAATATTAATTAAAATGAAAGAAGATAACATAAAGTAAAATAAAGAAAATCAAAATAAAACTTTAAATTAAATAAAAAAAAATAAATGCAATAATTTCAAATAATTTGACATAAAACAGAACAAATGTTGCCTGTTAAGTAAGGATCCGTTGGTTCGAATCTTGCCATAAGAAGTCTGATGAGGAGATGTGGTGATCTCCGAAACAGCTATAACTTCTACCATTTTTTTTTTTGTTGTATAACAAAATATTAAATTCATACAAACCAGGCCTTTAGTTTACTTAATACTTATAACATAAATAAAAAAAAAACTGTGAAAATAAAATAAAATAATAAAGTTAATTAGGTAATAAAATAAAATAATGACAAAAACAACTATTTTTCTGAAAATTAGCTTGGGTAACATTTAGTTCTCTATAATTTTAGCTATTACTCCCAAGGTCTTTAAAACATACCAACCAACCAAATAAATATAAGACAAACATGTACATACATAGTATGTGTATGTGTCTTTCATACGTGTGAACACCCAAGTGTCAATCGTGGACGCTTAAGTGTCTTCATAGCGAACAATGAAAGGAAATTAACGAAATACCAGCGGGCAGTAAATAGTAGTAGGTGGGTATTAAAAAGCAAAAAAATTAAAAAAAAAACAATTGTCTTTAGTCATTGATGTATGTACAAATGTGCATATGTATGAAATTTAGCGGTTAAGAGTTGCTCAAATTTCAATTGATTATACAATAACAATATTAAACAATACAAATAAAATTAATGCACAATAAGAAATAAACGAAAATAGACAAAAAAGTTTATAATAAAAATTAATAAAAAAGAGGATTACTGTTTTTTGCCGTTATTTGTTATTTTTAATTATACGGGCATTCATGCTTAATTTTATAGATTTTTCATTATGCTACTTGCACACGAATATATACAATGTAAACAATATACGACACGAATGTATGCGTAGTTTATTTAATTTTAAATATGTCCGCAAGTTATTTTCAGTTACCTAGTTTTAATCTTCAGAGGATCTGATTAATTTTTGAATTTTTTTCACACACGAAATTTAAGAATTAATGTTGTATTGTGAAAATTTTTTATATTGATTAATTGAAAGATTAAAATAAATATACGTGTATGCCTGCACATATGTAGATACGTACATAGTTTTATAAAATCAAACACTTTACATACTTACATGTATGTATGTCAGGTGATTAATCACAAAAAACCCCAAGTGCTTTATGTATGTATGTACTTACATAAATACGTACGTATGGAGATATTTATTTTGAAATTTTATTCGAATTCGTTATGATAATTAGAAATACTATCTTGCGGCAATTTGTGAATTTTTGACATTATTTTTGAATATCTGCATAAGGGATTGATTGGAGTATTCGATAAATATTTTGATAAGAAATGGACGTTAATGAATAATTGCCAAATTTATGCGTGTGTGATGGTTTTTATACAAGTGATGTGCGATAAGCAAATGAAAATTAAAAAAAAAATAAGAAAATAAATAAAAAAATTTAAATCAATTTAATGACGATTTTTTTAAGTGCATTAACGTCTGATCGTGTTACTAACAATTTCTGAAGCAACGGTAAACTCATTCCATGCTTAATTTATTTCTACAGAATATTCCTCTTAAAAAGCCTACTACTGCTTTAACGTCTCATTTTCATTTGCAGAGTTTGGTCTTGTAGCTGCAATTAGTACTTAGTACTCTTAGGAGAATTTGAGAAATCCACTTACATATGTATATGCTCCTTGACTCAGTCCTCGAAAGATTATTATTGATAGAACCTTTACCATACTCTTTCAAAGTGCATAGTTTTCTCTTTCACCGGGGTGAGAAAATTGTTCTTCTCGAATTAGTCTGCTTAAATCTGTGGTTACAACACTCTCGTGTAGCTGGAGACAGTCCACAATCAGTTATGACTAGGCAAGTGGAAATGCGATAGAACCACGCCAGAGAATGTCAACCTCTCTTAGTACGTTTCTGAGAAGAAGGCATGGCTGTGTCGTATGCAGAATTTTAAGAAATCGTTTTGGCTAGCTCGCCTTACAGTTCTTTGATATGTCACTGAGACCAAAATCATGAACGTTTCATATACAGCGAGAGAGATTGCAGTGGTCAGTCGTTGTGTTGCTCATATCAACTGTGAGCGGTTCTAAGTGAACTCCACAGGTCACCCACTCTAAGAGCTTCACTAAATACCCATTTCTCGGAGTGAAATTCTGACTAACTCGGGAAAGGAGCACTTTATACTTCGTTGTAGTCTTAGAGTGCGAGACCTCTTTCAATCAACTGGTTTGCCCATAGTGCTGGTTTTTATTAGAATAGAAGTAAGCATCATTGACTGAAGCTCTCTGGATTTGCGTTATCATTCCTTTCCACCTTTTGGTATGAAAATCACTTAAACCATAGCCTTAGGGGTGAGACAGGCTGGGTAAATGCTGGTCAATAATGGGGACAGAATGGCATATGATATGAGCAAGCCAACGACTGACCCAGGTGGTTACTGTAATAGCTTAAGCTTTTTGGAAATGATGTGCCTCTTTTATGCGACTGCATAGATTTTTGTCTCGACTCGGGATCATAATGATGAACTCAAGTATCGTTTGCAGTTGCAATTTTACTCAATACAATATCCTTCTCTTGGTTACAGAGAATCAAAAATGCACGTGATCACTATACACGCTGTTGTTTTTGCGGTGGCGCTGATTTCAGACATACCAGGATTTCCTAAATGGCTGAACACTTCGGCGAGTTGATTTTTCTTTAGTTGGGTGTCTTCGAGGGCAATTTTTTGATAAGTTCTGCCGTAGTCACCTCGGAGCGTACACCCGACCACGGATTGTCCTTAAGGTATTCGCTTTCTTTTGCAAATAAGTTGTGCTACTTGCACAAGAGTTGCCATTAACCAGTGATTTCTTATTCATTATGA